CAATCGCCGTTCGGAGTCGGCGTAAAACTGTAGGTCCCTCCGCTTTGTGTGACAACATCAAGGCGCACGCCACAAATCGGAGGAGAAGCTCGGCCAAACACTAACATATGTGTAAGCGCCAATCTATTATTATTATATGAGTCAAAGCCGTCTTTGTGGAAGATTAACAGTTGCAGTTGTAAATTAAAAAAACAAATTTGTAAAGAAATGAATATTGTACCAGCATGCTGGCAAGTTATATGCTTCGAGCCTGATGGCTTGATGGTTCACTTGATGGAGCCAGCAAGCTGGCTTTTATACAAAAAAGTTTTTGGTTGGATAAAATATTAGCTTCTTTCCAGAGTTCATTGTTTTCCTATACCATCGCTTATTGAAAATGTTTGCGTGTGCACTTGTATATATATGTATATGTAAGTAAAAAAATTTAGCCACCATTTTTAGCCACAACGACTTTTTAAGCTCTTTTTTAGCCCTTTTTTTAAAGGAATTTGGCTACCACTAAAAATGATTCGCGGCAACACTGCTTCTGATATCAAATTGAAAAATTTTGTTTGAATTTCTACACACACTTACAGATTTTGACAGTTTATGCCGCCAAAGCAAAAACAAAATACATGTAAATTTTTGTTTTTGTACTCCTGCTATCACCTTATATTGATTCGCCTTGGCACAAACAAATGTAAAATGAGTGGAAATCATAATATTAATGATGTACTGGACAGTGTAAGTGCTTGTGTGTAAAGCAAAGAGTTTAAAACTGATTTATAAATAGTAAAATGTTTACAGCAGATTGTCAAAGCAGTGCAACAACTGTTCTCTTGCAAGTTTTTGCTAGTTTTGTGTTCAATAACCTCTTCTGCTAGTTTTCTCTTCTTCTCAATTTTACGCTCTATTTTGCTTTTACGCTCTCGCTGCAATGTTTTACTGGAGAAGTTACTATACAAACCTAATGTTACTCGCATATTTTCGAGCCTGTATGTAAGTTTTCGGGAAAAAGGTTAAAAAGTATATTCATCTGCTGAAAAGATATTTTCGCAGATTCACAATTTATTTAAAATAAATCTATCAGCCCTATCTCCAATTCCATGTGAATAAATCTCTCCAGTGCTTAAATAATTTTCACCACATTAAATACCTGCACAACACCCTAATTGCCGAAAAAGCGTTGCTTGCAACACTAGTCCTTTATGGGGACCAAACTTGGTAAAAAAAAATAGCTAAGTTTGTTTACTGGATATACTGAGATTGCAAAATTAACAAAAATCTTGCAAGTTAGACAAACAGCCGACACCGTTTAGTAAACTAACTGAATAATTTCTTATTTCTTACAAGTTTAACTAGTCTTATTTTATCATTTTTAACATCCAAACCATAAAAAAAATATAAAATTCAATTTGTGATTTGCGTAAATTCCAACTAGCTGTTTTTGATCAGCGGTTTTCTTGCTGACAATATGGTGCTAGCAAAAGTTTTTTCAAGCGAAACTAGCAGCTTCTCGTCAAAATGAAATTTCAGTGTGGTCTCTCAATTTCCTCTTCTTCGCTGGACCTTTGTGTACGCGAACGGCAAAACCCGATAGGTTTTGATAGTTCTTGAATAAACCAATTATTATTTGGTTTGTTTTGCGGTTTTGGAAATTTCTTCCTATCTTTTTCATGTATGACTCGATTTCAAAGTGTTATATATCGTTGAGAAGACTTAGCTGCTGAAAGCATGTTCAAAATGGAATTTCTTCCGCAAAATATTCTGGATAAAGAAAACACAACAATATCAAGAGAACCAAGTTATGACAATTTTTGTACTTTTCTTTTTGGGTCGCGACTTACCGTTTGAAAATCACTGCTCTGTATGATTAAACGTGCGATAGGCAAACACATTTCTACCAAAACTTATAGGGTCCAAACTCATAATAAATTTAAATGCTTAAGTAAATTGGGGTACTGTTTGCGTATTTGTACAACGATTTTGGGGTGCTGTGCACAAACGCGTAATTCGGTTCAAAAAACTTTTACACACACTTGTAGACAACAGTTCACGTTTTATTTCAAAAATAAAATTTACTATGGCTGCGTTTCTTTATACATTCCGGATAAACTCATTTCACAACCAGAATAAACAGAATGCCATTGAAATATACGTTTACATATCATCAGGAACGTTCTAAAGAATAAGTAAACAAAAAAGTTTATTCCAAACGTTCAGAATGAATAAAGAAATACAGCCTATATCTGTACACTGATTTATTAATAATATCGGTTGGAAATATGGTATTTTTTGCAAATTTCCGAGCCAACCTGTCAAACAAAAAATATCTACGGATTATCTCTGCAAAAGGTGTTCAGCCCCTCTTCTTCAGCAACACGGAAAGGAGAATTCTACTGAGGGTTATAATCCCTAAGTGGGGCGGGGGTTGGGTGAATGAGTGTTTGGGGGTTTGGGTGCCCACGCTCCTCCCCTCCGCCCCACCCAAAATCGTTGTACAAATAAGCAAACATTTCCCGAAAATTGTATGAAATCGTAATCTTTTTATTTTTTATGAACAAGCCCAATAATATTTACCTGATTTTTGTAAGGTGTTAGCTCTAGTAGCGTTTGTAGAGGAGATTCACAATGCAAGTCTACGCCCACCTTGAGTTTTTTTAAGAATGTGCCTTTAAAATAAACTGGAGACTCGCATTTTGGAGAGGGTTGTAATTTAATTGAGCGGTCGTTGGTCCAGGCTAAAAGCCATATTAAGTCACAATTGCATACCAAGGGATTATTGGATATGTCCCTACAAAGATTTGATTAAAGCAAATAAAAAAATCTTAACTGTTATTGCAATTGTACTCACAGATGCTTTAAATTCGACATAAGCTCAAATGATCCAGAATATATGTGCCGTAATGCATTGTTACTCAATTTCAAGCGTTCCAGATTAGGTAAAGCATCTGCAAATGTGTCCTTATCAATTTTTCGTAACATATTTGATGACAAATCCAACCGCTTTAGTTGAGTTAAGTTATGAAAGTCCTCACTTTGAAGAATTGGAAATGCGTTGTTACTTAAATCACTGCAAAATGTCAGAGTATTCATTTAACTTTTTTATAAATTTGCATACATATTTATTTCTCTTACAGCGATACCACGAGTGTTGTAATATCAGTAAGCTGTACTTCTTTCCAGTCCGATACAGACATATTTTTAATCCCACCGCATTTTACTCGGATGTAAGAACTGTTCTCGGAAGTTGTTTTGCATTGACAAATGTCTGGACAATTAGTGACTACATTTGCCAAAAAACTTTGCAGCGGCCAAAGTATAATCCAAATACAGACCACCTTAAAAATCATTATTTTTGCAGGAAGCAATTTGTCTTCTCAGCGGCATTACCCAAAACTTGTGTACAAGTTTCACGCTTTTGATGAAGAACGCATATTTTTGTATTGTTCAAACACACAACTTATTTTTGTTTTCGTTTCTGAACTGTTTTCTCTTTGAGACTGAGTCCTATTTTTTACCTCACACCATTTGGTTAACGTAATTAAATAAAGTCACAGTATATACAGCATGATTCAATAATACAAGGCTCGATAAACTGACAGTTGTCTCTCTCGCACCGCTCCCTTAGCAGTGGCACCGTGTTGCTTCTTTGCACATGTACATGGAAACAGTGTAGCTTTGATGTGAAATAGAATTATGAGCGTTTGTGCAATATGTTTATTTGTATATGCATATGAAGCATATTTATCTGATGAAAACATAAACTGTTTTTAATTGGATGTTTACATCAATCTCATAGTATTATTTTAATTTTGAGTAATTTTGCAGTTTTTATACAGCTAAATAGCACATAAATTACGTAATTCACATAGATACATCAACATNAATTTTTATAATTGTGTTATTTATGAACAAAATGTAGGTTAAGTATAGTATCAATGCTTAATTAAGAAGAATATCAATAGTTAAGTACATAATTAACGCTAGTGTTTCCATAAACTGGAAACTCACATCGTATTTTTTAATAAAAAACGTGAATTTTGTGTATTTATCATAGAAAACTCTAAATTTTATTTAGATCTTTATTACAAAAAAACGAGGTTTGTTTAGTTATAGAGACTCCAATGCTTGCCAGCGCATTCGCCCAGACAGCTCATTAAGCACACTCAAGTTTGAGCGGAACTCCCCAAAAATACGTAACATCAAAGTATAGAATATCATAAATATGAATCATATACACATACAATAGCAATTTCTATGAATTGCTACTGTATAAATTCAAGACACGCATTTGGTTGGAGAGTGCGTTGGTTATGACGGGAAGTTCAGCCAACACATTCAATGTCCTTTACCCGGAGCTGTTCCAATATGATGAGTAAATTTTAAACTTCACAAGCCACTGCCTCTGGCTACAAGCTGGATATCTGAATATTGGAAAATAAATAGCAGTTATCTTTTTAAAATGATAAAGAAAAAGTGTTTGTTTACAAAATTACCTGTGCCACTCTGCCTTAGTATGCTTGTTGATTNTAGCAATTATCTTTTTAAAATGATAAAAAAAAGTGTTTGTTTACAAAATTACCTGTGCCACTCTGCCTTAGTATGCTTGTTGCTTCCTTTCATACCACAGTAATTTTGTATGCAACTCTGAATCAGCAAAATTCATGCTCCTTCTCATCATCAACCCTAATCAGATTTTACCCCCGAGGAGTACTGAAAAAGGTTTATTACTGTATATACTGTGAATAAAGTACTGAAAAACTTCATACCAAGACAAGTTGTTGTCCCCTTTCAGACACGTCAAGCACAGTATAGACAGTAACCAACCTTTTTGGGTTGTTGTTGTAGTAGTCGTTGTTGTTGTAGTTATATTCACTCCTGAGGAAGGCACGGGGTTGTGTGCTGCTATTTAATGGCCTTCTTCAGACTTTTTCTTAGATTTCAGGGTTGTGTGCTGCATAATTATTAGCTAAATAAATTTAAGCATTTGACAATACGTGATTTTATTAAAAGAAAATTATAAATGGTGTTGAAAAACCAAACAAACGCTCGTGCGAAAGCCCTTTTTTTATGTGTTGTTAAAATTTATACATGGCGTATTGATGGACAAGTAATGTATTCTTTTGTGGATTTTATGTTGCTTGAGAATTTAGACAACGTGCGAGCTGCCAGGTTCAGTTATCAATATAATTAACACAAGCTTTTTCGCGTAGTTGCCTTTCAATAAATAGAATAAACAAATATTCGCAAATAAATTGGATTTATTTTATAACTGACAACTAACGTACGATTTTTGTTCTTTTCTCCATTTTGATTTTGACTCCTATTACCGCCAACAACTTAATGTGTATACATATTTACAAGCTGTCAAAATTTTGCGTAGTCCCACGAGCCAAGTAAAAACTATGGCATTCGTATTCACAAGGAGAAATCTCAAAATTTTTGTTTGGTATTTCCAAATTTTCTCTTTTTTATCAGTTGGCAAAAGCCCTCAGTGGCAGCGCTCCGAGCGTTGAGATAGTAATTTCATGTCAATTAGTAGAAAAGATCCATGTTGAAAAAACTTTTTTATTATGGCGAGAAAATTTTACATTGCTGTGCCAATTCGTAACTTTTTACTGCTGGAAATTTTTGACAGTTGCTCTGGTGCAAAAGAAGTTGAGCAATTAAAATCAGAAATTATACAAAAAAGACTTGTCTTTACTGACTTTTATTCTTCTGGAACTAAAAGCCATGAATTTATTAGACACCTTAGTAATAAAATTAGAACAAAAAAATTCTTCAAAACCGTCAGGCCGGGTTGAAAATTGTCATCCACCTCATAGTTAACAAAAATTTACAATCCGTAGTACTTTTCTATCAATTCGCAAATGCCGTTTGCACAAAAAAGGTTATCAAATGCGTTTTATTTAAATCGTTTAGAAAATGAGTCATTTATGTATACCATTTTATATGGAATTATTCAATAAATTTCGTTTTACACTATACTTCTTGAAACATTTGGAGTTAATTATTTTTTGTTTCTTAAAAGCAACCCTGCGTGCTTGGAAGGCGTGTGTACCAATAATTTCATCCCTAGCATATTCATCCCCGAGGAAGGCAGTCGACAAATTCACCGAAGGTTGTTTACTGGTTATATTGTGACGTCAAGTCTTGCTTTCAAGTCTGCTCGTTCGTAGGCGAAGGAGGTGGGAAGAGAGGGGAAGAGTACAGATACCTCCGTAGCGTGTCCGTACCGTCAATTCGTTTCAAGTTTTCTTGTCTCTTGATCTTTTCGTTGCTTCCCATTTAAAGAACCAAGAAAGTTAAACAAATCTAAGGCAGTCTGCACACGGTTCGTAAAGCTTTAGCCACGTATAAAATTTTTTATGCAGCAACGATTCCGTTACGCCTCAAGATCTGCACACGAAGCAACTTCAAAGCGTCAAAGTATCAGGCAAAAAATGTTAAGTGATGCCAAATTATTATTTCTTTAATTAATTTTCAGTTATTTTTCTATTAATTGCACGAATTTTATTGTTTTATCGTTTTTTTTTATGAAATGCATGCACGCACACAGAAAATTGTAAACAAGATTCTTCTTCTTTCGCTTTTTTAAGCGTACGTACGCCTAGCTACCAACACTGCTGTACGCCAAGCGATTTGCAGCTAGCTTGCTTTGACGAATTCGTGAAGCTGACGACTCGTATACAGCCCTCCATTTAAATGCACGTGTGCGGCATCAAAGCGTAAACTTGCGTATGTAGCATCTAATACGCGTCTAAAGCTATGCGACCCGTGTGCAGACTGCCTAAATAGAAAATGTTCCATTTCCACTAGAGCTGTAGCAAACCGTATGTATTCGTTACTGAGTAACGGGTACAACCCCTGACTCGGAAGTACCGAATCGTTACTCACATAATAATCTCGTTACACTATGTTCAAACAGGCCAATTAGCTGAGGCAATGGGTTGGTTTTCCAAAAAGGCGTTGGTTAAAGGGACGGTGGGCGCATGACGCCACCAAACAACATTCTCTCAATTTCGGTACTTAAAACATTTAAATCTTTAAAAAACTTGCTGAATAATTTCCTAAAACGTAATCATAAATAATCCAATAGGGAACAGATTTTTATTTTGATTTAATATCGAAATTTCATCGATGTTATCACCAGCACGCTTTCTTTCAAATGAAAATATGGTTGTCAAACTATCAAATTGCCTGCAAAAGATGTCAAGCAATAAGCGCTGACATATATTGCAGCCCGTTACGGCCCGTCTCCACAGGCGAAAGTTTTTGCCTACCAACTGTCATTTTTATTGCCTGATAAAAATTTTATCAGAGGCAATATTTGTGCGTGGGCATATTCTATCTTGATAAAAGCATTTGAAAGATGGCGTCAAACAAATATGTAGCGCTTAAAAATTTAAAAAGACTGCAAAAAATTGATGCAGAAAGGCGAAAAAGGAAAAAAAAACCACAATTCTGGGTGAATCCTTTCTTGGAACAAAGAGGACTCCACGATTTGGAAACACATCTCTTAAAGGACATGGGAGGAAGGGCAAGATTTTACCAACTTTTGTAGGATGTCCATTGTCCAGTTTGAGGAGATTCTTTCAAAGGTATCGTTATTTAATTAACTCTTTATAAAGATTTACGTATGTGAATAAAATATATACATATGTACATATGCATACCAGGGTATGGTTTAGTTATTTGTACAAATATTTTGGGTTGCTGTGCCCAAACGCGTGACCCGCATTAAATAAATTTTACGTGCACTTGTAGACAAGAGTCTACGATTTATTAAAAAAAAATACTATATCTGTGCACTAATTTATTAATAATTTTGGTTAGAAATATGGTATTTCGATGTACAATATCGTTGTACAAATAACTAAACATTTCCCGTATACACTCTTTAGGTGGAATCGAGAATACAAAAACAAGATACAAATATGAGGTATGCTATTGCATCAAGAGTCCGCCTTGCTGTAACTTTGCGCTACTTAGCAACTGGGGACTCGTTTCGGTCGCTGGAATTCCTCACCTACATATCGCGTAAAACGATAAGTAAATTTTTGCCGGAAGTATTGGAAGCGTTAATAGCTGCTCTTCAGGACGAATACTTGAAAGTCAGTTAATAAATTTCATTTTATTTGCATACGTGCAAATTATAAATAATTATCTCCTATAGACACCTACGGCAGAAAATGAATGGTTGGATGTGGCTAATGATTTCGAGCAACTTTGGCAATTTCCGCACACTTTGGATGCAATAGAAGGAAAACATATCCGTATAAAAGCGCCGCCTAATTCTGACTCAGATTTTTTTAAATTATAAAGGCTTTTTCAGCATTATTTTTCTTGCAGTTGTAGATGCTCATAGTCGATTCATTTACGTCGATATTGGAGCAAATGGAAGAGCATCTGATGTTATGGCATTCAAAAATAGTTCTTTACATGATAAGTTGGCAAGAGGTCAATTAAGTATTCCCGCTGATACACCCTTAAAAGGACAGGTTTGCAAAACCCCATTTTATTTTATTGGCGACGATATTTTTGGTTTGAGCCGCCACTTAATGAAAGCTTACAACCGAAGTTCGAACCTGAATACTTCGCAAGAGGCATATAATTACAGACTAAGTAGAGCCCGAATGTCGGTGGAGATGGCTTTTGGTAAGCTCGCTGCACGTTTTCGCCTTTTTCACCGACCCATTGAGGTTTCAGTGGAAACATG